CCCGAAAATGAACGTCTGCTGTTAGGATTTTGTTGGCAGAGTCTCAAGGCCCCCAAAAACGCGTCTGCTACTTTGATTTTGGTTTCGGGCTTTCAGGCCCCTAAAACACGGCAACTGCTTGTGTTTTTTCGAGTTCCTGCATTGAATCTGTGGCCAGACTCCCGAAAATGAACGTCTGCTGTTAGGATTTTGTTGGCAGAGTCTCAAGGCCCCCAAAAAACGCGTCTGCTATTTTGATTTTGGTTTCGGGCTTTCAGGTCCCTAAAACACGGCAGCTGCTGGTGTCTTTTTGAGCTGCTGCTTTGAACTTCTGCCAGACCCTCCAAAATGAACATGTGCTGTTTGGATTTTGTTGGCAGAGTCTCAAGGCCCCAAAAAACGCGTCTGCTACTTTGATTTTCGGTTTCGGGCTTTCAGACCCTGAAACACGTCAGGTGCTGGTGTTTTTCAAGCTCCACGGCGAAAAGGATGCAGCATTCGAATTATGAATTGCGTGGCAGGCACAACCTCACATTGGCTCGCGGTTGTGTCCAAACACATCCTCCTCGTCCTCGTCCTCGTCCTCCTGGCGCCGAGGTCCATGGGAATTCGCGAGCAAACGGATGTCCTCGTTTACACGCACCCACAGAACTCGTCGACTGATGGCCGTATTGTGTTCCACCGTGCCGACTTCTTTCGGCCAAAAGCGATCCCAAGTCCAATTGGGGGAGAAAATGCGCGGGGTTTGCTTGGGAATGGTTCCATCAGCATTTCTGGCCACAATGTCACGGGTCTTTGACAAGTCGACAAGACCCTTGACGTCGTCAATCGAGCGTTCTACCATGCAGGCTTCATCGAACACCAAGCCTTGTTTGGGGCCGAAGCTGATGTCGCGTAGGCGGTCCAGACGATTGATGAAATGAAATCCGGCGTGTCCTACACAAGCGTGCATCAATGCGCAGGCGAATTCCGTCTTACCTAGGCCGCCGCGTCCCTCCAAAATCAAAGTGACCTCTTTGAAACCACCTTGCAACCACCAAGCCAAGCGCTCATGGATCTGCTGCAAAGGAACAAAGCTGGACAACAGAAAATCTGGAACGGCCACGAAGCTTCCAGAATCCATGTTTTCAGCATTCCACGCACTCAAAACTTTGTGAACCAAACCTGCGACATTTGCTTGGGCGCCGAGTGTGTTCCAGAGCGTCTCATCTCCTGAAATCTTTCGTGCTTTAGCAAGCTGCCAAGCGTCTTTGCAAGTTTGCACAGAATGTTCGACAAATGCATCCGTAATTTCTGAAAATGTCATCAAGGTTCGCTTCTTTCCAGGTTGGCCATTACGGGCTTCCATCTGGGGTACAGACTGTTGACAAAGTTGCATGAGCTGTGGTGTGGTCACATGAGAAGGCCAATGCCATGGATCTTTGTCTAAGTCTGCTGCAAGCTTGTGAGCACTGGCCACCAAACAATACTTGAGGTACGCTTGGTAGCCGACCAAGTTGAAAGAGAAATGGCCATGCACACCACCCTGCGCAAGTAGATGACCCAGTCTTACATGAGCAAACGGCCTGACAAATTTGAAGATGAAGTGTTTGTGTCGGGCTCGTTGGCCTGTCTCCTTGTCATACTTCTTGTGGGGCTCGTCAAAGACATGCAATCGACTGATATTCGATTGCTGGTTGCATTTTGCAAGGGCCTGAAGGAACATCTTACCAGCTTCCTCGTTGCTGAGATCCGCAGGAATCAAGCAATTGCGAGATTTGCGGGAAGCTGCATCTGCCAGGTACTGACGGGGACAAGGCCAAACAAACTGTCCACAGCGAGCACGGGCTTTAGGATCTGCGGGCTCGTCAGCATTGGAGGAGGACTCGCCCTCAGGACGAAATATGTTGTTGAACATCTTTAAAAACTGCTACACATGCGAACACCGACGTGCCTCAACATCACACATGGGTACATCCTCATCTGAAGATGAGGAGGACCCAGACGTGGGCGAAGAAGACATGGCGGGTTTGCCACTGGAACTGGGACTTTGAACTCAAGTTCGGTTGTGGCTAGTGAGACGCAGCTGGCTAGTTACGTTGGCAGCTGGTACTTGTTGCCCCTTCTCAACGCGAGCCCACAACCTTCGCAATTGTCAACAATATGTCTTCATGGCCACATAGACGACTACAGCTTGCAAAAAGGACAACTGTCACACGGAGTCCGGGAAATATACCTGCTCCACGCACATACCGCGAAACAAGCGGCCAAGATGACAACTGTTACGAGGATTGTGGTTTTCACCGTGCCAAAAACAAGCGAACATGCTCCGCCCACAGCAAAACCGTGTGACGGTGGCCATTTCCGGACTGGAATGTGCCAAAATCCAAGGAATATGGCTTCTCTACAGCAGAACCGTGTGACAGTTGCCACTTTTCGGACACGAATGTACCAAAACCCAAGGAATCTGCTCCGTCCACAGCGAAACCGTGTGACAGTTGCCACTTTTGAAGCACGAATCTGCCAAAACCTAAGGAAAACACACATTCCAAAATAGATTGCCAAAAATCCGGACCGGGAAGGGAAAATCGTAACGTTGGAAACCTTGTAAAAGATTCGAATTTTCTTTCTTCCAGCACATTCAACGTTACGATTTTCTGTTCTGGATCCGCATTTTTGGCAATCTAAAAAGGCCCCCTGCGCGCAAAACCAAGAGAATGTGCTCCATCCACGGCGAACGGTGTCACGGCGGCCACTTTTCGGACAGAAATGTCCCGCAACCCCAAAACAACGTCTGCTACTTTGATTTGGTTCTTTAATCCTAAAGCACTGTTTCTGCTGCTTTGACCCGTTAGCCAGACTCCCAAACAAGAACGTCTGCTGTTTGGATTTTGTGGTCACGGTCTCACCCAAAGCACGTCTGCTGCCTTGACTTTGCTTTGCGACTCCAAACGCGCTAAGGATGCTTTCGCTTTGCCAGGGCTCCAAAAACACGTCTGCTGCCTCGATTTTGCTTCGCGACTTCAAGTGCGCGACGAAAGCCTTCACACATCTTCACACTGCTTGTGACCGTTAGCTTCGCTGCTCCACCCCCTGTTCTTACAATACTTGGACTTCATGCAGGGACCCTAGAACACTTCTACTACTAACATCCCTGCTTTCCAACCCCACTGGCACGAACCGTGGTTTGACTTTCTGCCACATCCTCAACATCACTCCTTAAGTAGGATAATACAAGATAAACATGGCGTAATGCAGTCTGCAACCTTATTTTTTTCACGGCAAGGTGCATCGTGAGACGCAAGGAGAACTTCAAAAGCTTTGCAGATCCCAGAAGATCTTCAGCCGCTGCGCTTCTCTACGACAAGGCTCAGCAAATCTTCCTCCGACAAACGCTTCGCTGCCTGCTTTGCCTCAGCTTGACAGCAATTACAGAACCTACAGGTTGACGCAACTTCCTCGCCTTACGGACACGGCGCTGTTCTTGCTTCACTTGCTTCATGACCCTTCGGGCTTCTGCCTGGAATGCAGAAGATTCAAAAACGAGGACAAGCGGGAAGACCTCACTGAGACAGAAACCTTTGCAGCTTCACGCTCTTGCTTCAAAACGCTGTAGGCGGGCTGACAAGCTTTCCTTT